ATGATCCTCAAATCTACTTATATGTGGCCCCAATCTCTTTGCTGACCCCCTATCTGTCATCTCCAACTGCCCTTCAGACTTACTGAGCTAGATGTCCTACAGATATCTCCATATGTCCCGAGTCAATATGACTTAAAGTCAGTTATGTCCAAAATGGAACTTATTATCTTTTCCTCTAAATCCCCCCCTTCCTATATCCTCCATTACTGTAGCTGGCAATGCCATTCTCCCAGTCTCTCAGGACTCCCTAGGAGTCGTACTAGACTCACTATCTCACACACATACCTTTCCTGCCAATATCCAAGCTGTTGTCAAGGTCTATAGATTTTACCTCAGCCAATATCTCATGTATACCCCCATTTCTCCTCTGACACTGCCACTACCCTAGTATAGGCTCTCATCACCTCGTAAGCACTCATAATAATCCATCCTCCATTCAGCCATAAAAATAATTTCTCATTTTAATATAGCCCGCCTCCCAGAGTTGATTGGCATCCCCTGGGAACACCTACTTTTCAAAGGGCATATAATCTTGTACGCCCAACCCCCAAATTGAGCCAGTTCTGAACTGGTACCCTTAGGGGACCCAGTTGTGGGCTGAACTCCCATGCAATGCATGTCAAGACAGCTTCAGAGGAATTAAAAAGGTGACACATGACCCCTTATTTCGTTTGTCTCTTTCTTAGAACAGATCCTGTTCCAAATTGGGGTCTGTGGGGTTCAACGATATCTGTATATCTATATGTATATACATACATACATATATAATATGTAAATGTTCTAAAGGAGGGAGAAAAGTAATGGCCACAGTAGGTTGGACTCAGTGAGGCTAGTCTCCTGAGGAGGTTATGATTGGGCTGGGGGGAAGGAGGGAGAGCTGAGAGTAAATTGTGATACCCCTTCTAGGAGTGAGAATGGTGACAGGGCAGAGAGAAGGCAACAGCAACTGATGTGGGTGGCAATGCCATGGGACAAGTCATTTAATTTACAGAGTTAGAAAAGATGCCAGATTTCTTGATTTGTTTAAGTTGTTGATATAATGAAAACCAGGAATGCCCCTAGGGTACAGTCAGCTGTTGGCAAGGAAAATTAAAGTAGGGCATTTGAGATTTGATCATGACAGGGTATAGGTAGTGTGTCACTTGACTCTCTGTTCCCATAGACACACCTTGTTAAGTGGGAAAATGTGATTAGAGGAGAATATGAGAAAATGCATGGTTTTCTTTTTGAGGAAGAATTGAAATACATAGACATTAAGGGCAAGTTGTCTAGTAATAGAGAACTACTGTAATATGCTTTTAAAAACAAGTAATAAATGTTACAGAAACCATCTAAGAGATTAATGAAACAGATGCAGACCTGACTTGGAGTTCCTTGAGGTGAGAATTAGGGAAAAATTCTCAGTACCAAGTGTATCAGAATGTATACAATGAGCAGTGGGGGATGGGGTGGGTTGGGGCTGGAATCCATCTCCATTTAGGGCCTGAAAACCTATGAGATTCTATCCTGTTGCTTCAACGATGGTTAGAGAACAACACAAGCATAGCCTGTACTTCTCTCTTTTTTTTACCTATTTATTTAGTGAGGCAATTGGGGTTAAGTGACTTGCCCAGAGTCACACAGCTAGAGAGTGTTATGTGTCTGAGGCCAGATTTGAACTCAGGTACTCCTGACTTCAGGGCTGGTGTTCTATCCACTGGGCCACCCAGCTGCCACTATAGCCTGTACTTCTCCACTAGGGAAGTCATCTCAGTCTAAATATATTCTTCTGATCTAGGTCCAAGTTTATTTAGCACTTTTAATAACATTTAACAAAACATGCCAGATTTCACCCTTGAAGTATTCTTGGTGTGTGACAGATAGATACCAGCAGAATCCTTAGAGGGATTCTGAAACTGATAGAAGTGAATGGAGTTTCTTGATGGACCAAACCTTTTCCCTTTCTTTTCTTTCTAAAGGAAGACAAAGAGTTTTTGCAAAGATGATTTACAATCTGGCTCTTGTATGTCCAGGGTTGAGAATTGTCATGTGATCTGGTATTCCAGGATGGGTGGGCATGGAATGTGTAGGGAGCAGGGAGATTAACTAGCCCTTTGCTTTGTGTAGGAGTCATTTACTTTTTCAAAGACCCAAGGCAGTCCTCTCACAGTTCATAGAATATCCTATTACTGGGATTGAGGAAATGGTAAAAAAAATTCAGAGGTATGACATAGCTCTTTGCTAGTGAATCTGCACATGGGCATTTACAGGTGGCTAGATGTATAGAAGTTTTACCCCCAGCTTCCTTCACAATAATTCAAGCTAGTACCTGGCAATTGGGTCATGGCTGATGGTTGCCAGTACGGTAGGTTGGGAAATCTATTATCCTCTGGTTTTGGGGGAGAGAGAAGAAAGGGAATCAGCTCTTGACTCCTGCATGTCACCTTGGGTTATCTACTAGGCCAAACAATGACATGGAACTACTGCCTGTAGGCTATCACTCTTAAGTACTCATCTCCTAGGTGCCTCATTTCCTTTCAAAGACTCTAAATGTTGGGTCACTATCTATCTAGAGGAAACTGTACTAGTGAGTGGTTGGGCCATATTCTAGGCTATCTTTGAACTTCCTTTCTCCTCTAGATCCCAAATTATACATATTCTTGGGCCAACAATTCCTAGGAATGGCTCTACATTCTACATTATACAGTCATTCTTAATTATCTGTGCTGACTATAGATCACTGCCCACATTCTTAGACTCTTAGAGTTAATGATGTTTGCTCATGAATATTTTCATGGATATTCTATCTAACCTGGCCAGCAGACTCTAGAGTTCTATGAGAACCTCTATGACATCTGTCAGTTTTAAAAAACGGAGCTACCCAGAAAAACCCAGAGACCAGAGGCTGTCCAAGTAATCTTAAATAACAGAAAGAAGAGAAGAATTAAGAATTCAGAATTCAATGAGTACACTACAGAGCATATTCCTAGATTAGGCCACCAGGAGTTAGTTACATCAGTGCTACTATTGGTGGAGGGGGGTACTTTAGCTTGGAAAGTAGCCAGACTTGGAAATGTTAAACACCTCCTTTAGGAAAGGGACCACTCACCACCCAAAGAGTTAAGGAGGTGGTACAGACAGGTCTGTTTTTACTTTCTGCATCCAACAAGTCTTGGCAACAGAAGGTTTTCATCAGAAGGAAGGTTTGCATGCCTCTCAGAACTTTCAACTTCCCTATTCTCAATGCAGTGAATATCACCATGGATCTTACAACTAACTCCTGGTCCTTATGTCATTTTATCTGAAGATCTGAAGAATAAGAATTATAGAGGTGACTATCTGAATCAATCTAACAGTACTGAAAAATCTACTTGTTAGGCCCTTGGTAAATAGACTTTCAGCTTTGGAAAACACTACTGGGACATGAGTGAAAAGCTCCATGGAAAGTAGGATTTCTACCAAGGACCTCAGGAAGAAGACTGCAGACTCACTTGGGTATCTATATATGCTTAACTGTGATAATAGGGGAAATGATTTCTGCCTTGTTACCTGACCAAGATTAGTATGCCAGCAAGTTAAATTACCCATGTCTTCTAGTGTCATAAATCTGGAATGCACTGATAGATGTTTTCTGTTCTATAATGCTATGAAATGATACCTTGTGGAATGCAGTTTGCCACGGAAAAGTCTTACCCAATCTGTCTTTTCTCCTAGTTCCTCAGTGCTAGGAACAAAGATTGGTCCTATGACCACCTGTCCATTGGGATGTAATGTTTGTGAGAATGGCTGTTTTTGATTCTGGGCATTCTTTTTTGAAGGAATTCTCCATGCAAAGCCAGGCTGTTTTGTTTCTCAGTTATCGTACCCCATACACTGAGGATAAGGACATGATTGAGATCGCCACCTTTTAATGTTAGCTTCTTCCCAGTCTTTCTCTCCCTTCAATGACCTGAAGAGAGGTTGGACTCATGCATCTTCTTTCTTCATGATGAAAGCCAAAAGAACTTTGGCTGTTTTTCCGGCTCTTGGGGTATTTCCTTTTCAACTCATGTAGGTGCAGGGCATTGAGTAATCAATCTCCACCAATGAGGAGAGATTCCCATATAATTGACCCTTTGAGCAAGGATTACATTTGTATCACCACAAATCCATCCACTTAATGAAGGGCCCTTTTTCATTTTGTTCAGACTTAGTCTACCCAGCTTTACAAGGGACTCTTCAAGAATCTGGAAAAGGCTTCAGAGAAAAACAATATTTTTTTTCAAAGTTAAATGATTTTAATGTACACATTTATACTTGTATTAATCCTATATCTACTTCTACCATGTAGGCAAAGTAACTTAATCATAGAATGTTAGAGCTAGACGAGATTGGATTATCTTGTCCAATTCACTCATTTTTACAAGTGGAGAAACTGGGATCTAGCATCACATAGCTGGTAAGTGTAACTCAAATCCAAGTATTCTGACTGAAGACTCAATACTCTTTCCACTAAATCATATTACCTCATTTACATTACTTCCTATTTACATTAAAAAAACCAAGTAGTCTTCAACAAGACATGACTAAGACAGACTGTGCTTGTTAATAAACAGCACAGGGCAGAGTGCAAAGTGGTTTTCTTGGCTCTAACATTTTCACAACCCATGAAGCAGCTCATTGAAATCTTCATTTCAGTATCTTATTTGAGAAATGGCAACACACAAGACCCTAAAAGGATCTTCCCATGTGTGCTGTTTTTCCCATATTTAAATCATAACTCTTGGGCTATAAAGAATGAATAATAAATAGGTCTATTTTCTATCCAGAATAGAGAGGTTTAGTTAACAAATTCACAATAGGCACACCCCAAGTTCCTAAGAGTGTAACTTGCATCAATAGTGTTTTGAAACTTCAGAAAAATTTAATATTATTTCTTGGAATTAATATTTATGGGAACTACTAGTATTTACTCCATTATAAAATTCTGTCTTCTCTAGTCATCACTCCACAGTGATGATCTATATTTGTTACAGCACAGAGGATATGAAGATGTTTTATTTTCCCATTCAGATCAGAAACAAGCCTCTTCACTTCCTTCCAAATGGATCAGACCACACTTTTAAGCCTGGTGGCTGCACATCTGCTTGGACAATACCAGCCCGATCTATGGCTTGCTTCAGCTTGTACTCCTCGGTCAGCATCAGGTGCGGGAAATAGATGAGACAGAAGGCGGAGCTCAAGAGGAAAGCGAAGCGGCCTAAAATCACCATGCGCAAGTTTCGAGACATGACCTGAGCTCTGGACGCCCCAGTACCCAGGACAGCGCTAGCCACATGCGCGAGGCACCGGACGAAAAACAGTATTTCTTAAACATTTTTAGAGTAACTAAAAGGAGATTTTTAATATGCTTACACAACAGTAATAACATGCTGTCAGATGTGAGAAATGAGAAAAATAAATGACAACAGATATTGCTTTTATAGCCAAAGCACACATTTCATCATTTAATCAATCAGTGAAGCCCCTCCTATTGTGTTTCTTAGATCCATGAGCCACTGAGGAGGGCTAGGAACTGTACCCTTGGGCCTGACATTTGTGCCTCAGAGAAAGGGGGCTTTTCTCCTATTGTAGTAAAGGCAAAACTTGTACCCCTAGTGATATACCCTTCTACCTCTCCCAGTTTTTTGTCATCTGAAAATTTGACAAATATAAGATTAACACATTTATTTGTCATTGATAAAGATGTTAAGCAGCATAGGACCAACTACAAAACCCTGGGTTACTCCACAGAACTCATATTGTAATGAGACTGATTCATTAACAAAAACGGTTGAATACAGACATACAACTATGAACCACTCTGGTTGGATTATCATCTCTTTATTTTCTCTATAAGAGTAGTATAACATACTTTGGCAAGATAGAAATGAATTATACTCATAGCATTCCTTGATCTACTACTTAATTATCTCATGGGGGAAAAAAGAATAACCAGGTTAGTCTGGCATGGCTTATTCTTGTTGAAACCAAGCTGACCCTTCACATCTCTTCTTCCCTTTCTAGACAGTTGTTAATCCTTACTTTAATTATCCTTTCAAAATTTCTCAAGAATTGAAATCAAGCTCACAAGGCCTATTTTTAGTGGACAGAGTTTGATTCAATTTTTGAAAATCTGGATATTTGCCCTTCTACAATCTTGTAATACCCTCTGACTTTCCATGATCTATTAAAGACCACTGACATTGACAAAGCAATCAGATATGTGAATTCTCTCAGGAACAAAGAACAATATTCATCTGGGCCAGGTGATTTGATTTCATCAAGAGTAGCTAAATGCATTGTTACCATTGCCTTACTTTTTAGGGTATCTACTCCTTGTTAGTCATTTCCAGTGTAAAAGCAGTTTGCTTTCTCAAACAAAACAAAACCAAAACAAGAATTGAAGAGTTTTACTTTTTCTCTGTTGCCAGTTATGATCATTGACCCATTCACCCCAAGCAAAGGTCCTGTCCTTTCTTTGATCTTCTCTTTTCTCCCTTTTGCTAGCTTCCCTTGATAGCCTAAGTTTGTTGGTAGCTTTAGCATTCTTGACATGGTTTTTAATTAATTTATTTTAAATACATTCTTACTGATAATTTCTGTTGTTGTTGTTTACATCACCATAGTACCTCATGTATCCTTTCCATTCCCCTTACCAGAGAAACATTTTATATGACAAATATTTTTGGAGAGGAAAAAAAAAGTCAGCATAATTGAGTGATACATTGAAAAAGTCCAAAAACATATGCAGTGTGTAACAACTATGGACTTCCCCACTCTATAAAGGGATAGTTGGCTGTGTCTTTTCATATCTCTTCATTCTATTCCCACTTGTTCTTTATTAATTTGTTACATTTACTTTTTACTTTTTATTTTTTGTTTTTCTTTATTGATTTTTATTTACATTGTTGCAGTTACTATACACTTATATACACTTATAAATATACACTTATATATTATATACAGAATAATTTTTTGGCTCTATTTACTTCACTCTGTAGAAATTCACTCTAAATCTTTCCATGTTTCTCTGTATTCATCACACATTATTTCTTACAGCACAGTAATATTCCATTATATTAATGTACCTCAGTTTCTTTAGCCATTCCCCAAGTGATGTGTATCTACTTTGTTTCTAATTCTTAGCCATCATAAAAAATACTGTTATAAATATTTTTTGGTATATGGGGACTATTTTTCTCATGAATGACTTCCTTGGAACATAAGCCCAGAAGTGGAATTTCAAGTTCAAAAGATATGGACATTTCAGTCACTTTATTTGCATAATTTAAAACTTTTCCATACCATTTTACAACTCCACCAAAAATATATTAGTGTGCCTATCTTTCTACAATCCCTCCAACATGAGAATGAAGGGGAAATCTACTTGACTGAGAAGAAATAGAGATGGAAAAATATATATATATATGTGTGTATATATGTATATACATATATACATACACACACACACATATTCAGGTAAAAGCAGGAAATAAAGGAACTTATTAAGAAATCTAAAGAGAAAAGAATAACAAAGGAGAAGAGGGATTAGAAGAGAAGAGAAGATACTTAGTGGACACAGGGCCATCTTAAAAAAAGATTTCACACTTCTGAAGGCATATAATATTGTTTTTACAGTGGAAGATAGAATTTGAAACTGAAAATCTTCTGCACCAACAACATTAATGAATCTATGTTAAGAAGGGAAATGGTTGAATTGGAATTTAATTTTTTTTCTGTTCCAGGCAATTCTTTCTATTATTTCCTTCATTATGATGTTAAAAATTTTTTGTCTTTTCATGGTTTTTTGAGAGACTTAGGATTTTTAAGTTATTTGTGCATCTGTCTTTGAGTTGAGTATATTTCGCTTGCACAGTGAGCATATTTCCTTTTAATGTTATTGTTTTTTCACTTCTCTAACTCCATGTTGTGCTTCACTTCTGTGTATTTGCATTCCCAATCTATTTTTTTTCTTTTCTTTCTTTGGAGAGACTTTTTCATTGCATTGATGTGATTTTAAAATTATTTACATTAGTAAAATGATCTATTATATTTATGGTCTTTATGCTGAAGAAACCCTGTATTGATGGTTTAAATCCTATCTAGTCATATTGTATTATTGTTGTAAATTTCTTGCTAATATTCTATTTAAAATTTTTTCATTAAAGTTCATTAGGAATATTGGTCTGTAGTTTTCTTTCTCTGCTTTCTCTCTCCTTGGATTAGGTATAAATTCAATATTTGCATCATAAGAAGAGATTGGAAATCTGTATGGATTTTTAAACCATCCACTGACATTTTAATAAGTATTAATAAGAAACTTTAATAAATATCTTAATAAGATACTTTAATAAGATAATCTATCTCTTTCCTTTGTGCTATCAGCTATCACCCAAGCCTGAAAATGCTCCTATTCCTTTGCTGGCTGCCTTCTAGTTTCAGCTAAAATTCCACCAACCTTTGAGACACAATTCAAATATCATCTACTGAATGAAGTCTTTCTTTATCCCCCAAAGTGCTAGAGCCTTCTTTCCCAAACTACCTCATATTTAAATACTTTTTATATATTTGTATTTATACACTTTATACTTATCATGTATCTATTTAGTTATGTATTTATTCTTCTCTCCACCCCCATTACACTGTAAGCTCATTGTGAATAAGAATTACTTCATTGTTTATGTTTGTATTTCCAGTGCTTAGTATACTCTGCCACACAGAAGATGTTTAATAAATGTTAATTGGCCAATTAATTAAAGTAAGAGATTAATTCTGGACTCAAATTCCACCTTCAGCAGTTACTGGCTGTGTGACCATGGGACTATTTAATATCTCTGAACTTGAGGTTGGAAGATTTAAAGCTAGTCTATTGAAAAAAAAAGTACAGACTATGGGAATAAAATACACATTTTTATCAGCCTGACAATTGCATGAGAAAATTACAAAGTGATAAAGTTGTTAGGGAATAGACAAAAAGATAAAAAGATTGACAAAATAACTATAAAGACCCCCATATCAGAAGTTATCTCATAAGGCCTGAAAATAAGATATTATGGTTAAAAACTCCTAATCCCATCAAAACTGATATCATTAAGTCATATAACTCACAATTATATATGTATATATAAAATGTTTTAAAGCTTATAAAACACTTTCTTAACAGACTTGTAGAAGCCTCTACTTGAGGATATAGAGGAGTTGAAAACAACAATAGCAAAAGGAAGGTTTTTTGATTCTTAAAAAACAAGAGGTCAGAAGTCTTTAGTTCTGGGAACATACACAAATAAAAGGATTTCTGATCTGATGGCGATGGGTCTTCATGATGCAGACTACAACTTCAGATTCACCTTGCCCAACCAATTTATTTTTCTCCACTTTGGGAGGTGGAGGTGGGGGAGGAAAGGCATGCATGAAATTATATTTATGATTTTATTAGTATAGGAAAATTTAGATGAAGAAAATCTTTCTACCAAAGCAGATCACTAATTATTCTGTGTGTATAATCTTAGGGAATTTACTGGGGCCACTAAAAGGTTGAAGTACTTTCCCAGCATCAGATAGTCAATATATGTCCAAAGGACTAGAACCCAAGTCTTCTTGACTCCAAGGCCTGCTTCTATCTACTATATCAGTCTGCCCCTCATGTCACCATGTTTATGCACCAAATGGAGTACACCTAATGTGCTAGAGATTTTCTTCTCATTCCTTTGGCATTACAGAGACACCATTTGAAGATGTGTGATGACCAGTGATTAGCTCTGACTTTCACTATCTGAACTCATTATCTTATTGTCTGGTCACATATTTCTGTGAGATCTCACACTCATCACAAGTCTCTTCATTGCCCTTTGGGTGATACTAGAATTCATTTTTGGGAGATTATCCATGGAAGCAAATTGGTGGTAAGAAGATGAGCTTTTGTTTAAGGGAGAATGGTAGGAACATTAAAAGAACTATGCAATTTCCCAGAGGCAAATCCAGCCCACTTAGGTCCTGTTGGTTAATCCTGGATCCAGTTCATTATACATTTGTTTTGGTCTATCCAACACACACACACACACAACACACACACACACATAGATATATAGATAGATATTGATATATAGATACACATACATATGTGTAAAGGAATGAACTAATTTTGAGTCTTCATTTAATATGGAGAATATCATAGTCCAAACAATAGACGATCCTCATCTACTTGATTTTTCCTATGCAAAGAGTTTAGTTGAACTTTTTTTTTTGTGAA